AAGGTATGTTGTCAGGGGTGTCACAGTGACTCCCTGGTGACATCACAGGACTTCCAGGACCACACTTTGGCCTCAGAGAACAAAACCTTGCCAGATAGTTCATCTCACAGGACTGCTGATGAGGGAGCAGAATCCCTTTGCTTTTTTTTTCATATAGATTTGGAGGCTTCACCAATCGTACCCAGGCCTGTGTTCTCTTTTAGAAATAAACCATCTCAAGGCATTTCTCCCTCCTTGGCTGACTTTGCAGGTCAAGGAAGTTGATCCTCCCACTCTGCTTAGTTCTGTTGAGGGTACAGTTGGAGTACACTGCCCAGTGCTGGGCTCCCCAGCATAAGTCGAGATGGACATACTGGAGAGCATCCAGCAAGGGTCTACAGGGATGATGAAGGGACTAGAGCATCTCTCCTATGAGGAAGGAGCTAAGAGGGCTGCTTTCAGGCTGTTCAACCTGCAGAAGAATTGATAGGGGATCTTTTCAAGCATGTATCATTACCTGATAGCAGGGTGCATAGCCTAAGCCAGGCTCTTTTAACGCTTGCCCAGTGAAAACAGGCACATGTTGAAACATGGGAGCTCTCCTGTGACTATTTGGAAATATTTTTATTTTTTTACTATGAGAGTGACCAAGCACTGGCAGAAGATTTCCAAGGTGCTCGTGGAGTCTCCCTCCCTGGAGATGATACTCAAGACCTGTGTGGCTATGGTCTTGGGCCCCCATGTCTCAGTGACTCTGCTTGAGCAGGGGCTGTTGGAGCTGATAACCTTGGAGGTCCTTTCCTACCTTCAGTGTTATGTGGTTGTATGACTGAAAATACACTTGTGCAAGCTAAGAAGGCACTGTGTAGGAAGGTTGAATACTCCTGAGGAGTTAGGTTTGCCTCATGGGAGTTGATTGTCCATGAGGCTGCTACCTCTTTTTTTTCCTTTGGGGGATTTATCAGTGACTGCACATAAAACTAACCTGCAAAACAAAATCATGTGGATTGCATGAGGGAGTGTAAATCTTTTTGGTTCTGTTTTCATAGTGTGTGTTGCAGATTTCCCAGTTGGTCGGCAGGTCACAATTTGTAAATGAAGCAACTTGCTGCACATCAATTCTGTGAGCCAGCAAGTTGGCAGCTTGATCCTGCTGTGAATTCCTTCATGGGAGTGTCTTAATGCTTCTGCTTGGTGAAGGTCAAAGTCATGGAGTGACATAAGGAGTGTACAAAGTAGAGGCCAATTGTAGTTGAATAGAGCGATTTAATAAAACTTGTCTCAGTCCAGATACTAATTTATTGTACTGCCTCTGTCTTTTGAGAAGACTCCTCTCTTTGCACCAGTCTGACTCGAAAGTAACAGTGTTCTTTGTATGCCATTGTTTTTTAAAGACTTCTGTAGTGTTTGGCCATGGTCTGAAAAGCCTGTAGCAGGTACTTTCACTGTGGGCATTAAACATGAGGCTCTATACAGGGCATACCACAAGGACAAACTTCTCTGTGAAGGCTTTGGGAGTTAAATTTGAAAGAAGAAGATGAAAAGGTTTTCAGAGGCTTGCTGCCTGGCATTAGATTTGTATGGCATTGTAGGCAGTGCCTTTGAGACAAAGTAATTGTAAATCAACTTCACTTTTCACTGCCACCTTGTGAGACAAGTGGTAAGGAACAGGAGAAGTTATCCTAAGGGATATTTGGAGTAAAGCATGAGAAAACAGGTGATGTGGAAGGACAAGAGGATTTCTAATACGCCTTTGGTGGTGTTGGTACCAGAGGGGGAAGGAATAAAAGTGGTAACATCTGTGGTTGACCATACTGTGGAAATGCAATGTAGGGAGCCCAGGCATAGGCATATAGAATGTTCAGTACCACACTTTATAGACAAATAGAACATAAAAGAGGATGACAAATCCAGTATTCAGGTTTTATGCTTGTTATAGTCCTCAGCTAAAAAGGCCTTGCAGGGGTCTCTTTAGATTTTTGGATGAATGTTGTGATGGAGAATAAATTCTTAGCCCCAGTTTTGAACATG